CATGGCCAAAAAGTGCTAGAATCAAAGACCAAAATAGCATGCAATACAAACTAGTTAAGAGGATTTACACTGCAAGTATATGAAGCATTCAAGAGGTCACTAAACCAGTAAAATTCAGAGGTATGACATGCCAAATAAAGCCCAAATACTCATTGAAACATGGTCAATGCATGCAAGAATAACATGCTCCTTTGATAGGCTATGAAAAGGGTTATTCTACACATGCAAGATGGACACTCAATATGGCAAAACAAGCTCTGGACAGAGCCTATGCAGGTCCTAAAACTCACCAAAAATGGCCTGAAACATGGCTTGGAAGCATGCAAATAAGGGATCATTTGTCAGGCCAAATATGCTAGAAATCAAAACAAGGAGAGAGAGGGTCACCCCTCTCTGATTTTGGCACTCAAAACAGCATTCTAGTCACTGAAAATCCACTAGATTTTAGTGTCTAGAAGGCCAAACAAAGGTCAATGCAAAGGCCCTAATGCATGGCTCAAAATAAGGCAAAATGAAGCATGCAAGGGGGTAGATGACCCCTAATAGAAAAATGATCTTAAACAAACATGTTAAGGACCTCAAAATAATATTTTTTTTTAGTTTACACCAAAGCTCAAAAATTCTTGCAAGTATGGCTAAAAGATGAAGCAAAATAAAGCTCAAGAGAGGGAATAGGGTGTTACCCTTGTAGCTCAGCAGCTCCAGCAGCTTATAGACCAAAAATGCAGCTCCTTAGGACCTCTCAAGACCCTCCAAGAAGCTTAGGTTGGTGTTGGAGGTGTTAGGCTAGGAGATGGTGTGCAAAGGGGCAAGAACTAGACCCTTTTGAACCCTAAAATGAAGAGATATAGGGAGAGATATGTTGTATGCCTTCAAACAAAATATGAACCCTCTACAAGGAAGGGAAGGCCTTCCTTTATAGACAAGAGGGACTAAAGCTTCTCCAAGAAGCTTCAAACCAAGGTGGAAGATCCTCCATACACATGTATGGAAGATCCAATCTGTGCCTCCCAGCTGGCACAGTTCGAATCAACTCACTGAGACAAGACAAGAGGAAAGAGGCCGACCAGTTCAGGTGGTCAGCCAGCCAGTTCAGGTGGTCAGCTAGCCAGTTCAAAAGGGTCAACTCAACAAAAAGTGGTCGACAGCCCCATTTGGTGGTCTCCCAACTGAATGCAAGCTAGTGGTATGGTGAGAGACCAGCAATTGTAGCCCAAAAGTGAGGGAGACCAGTTACCTGTCAAGGAAACCGGCCGGCGGGGGAAAAGTGGTCTCCAAGAAAAAAAGGTGGTCTTCCACCCTTGTACCACCTTCCAAACAATGAAAACAAGGCCTATGCCAAAAATGAACCAAGACGGATGCAAAACGAGGGTTCGGGGGCCAAAACGCGCAGCCGGGGGCCTCGAAAACTGACTGTTAAGCATCGAAAGTGGCGTGCAACCACAAAGG